GCGGCTATCATCATGTAGATAAAACGACTTCTAAACAAAAACAATAAGTGGCTTAACCAGAGCGAAGACAAAGGATGTTTATAAGATTAACATGGGCTTAAATAGCGTCCTCACTCCTTCTCTTTTCTACCTCCATGGTATCATAGGTGATTGGATATCGCAATAATTAGTTTTAGTATTATTTCAGTACGATATAACCAATAGCCTAAGTCTTGTCAGTGCAGTTAGCTGGTGTGGGTGACCTGGGGTGTAGAAATGAAGGGATAGTTATAGAACAACACTTTCGATCTTTCCGTTTACAGAAAATCGGCAAAGTTAATATGTTAACGAGTTTTAAATACAGGGGAGCTAGTGGGCCCTTTGGGAGGTCAGTGATTTACATAGCATTTGCATAAATTTGCATATTCCTTGTTTTAAATACAGGGGAGCTAGTGGGCTCTTTGGGAGGTTAGTGATTTAAAGGGCACATCTGCATATTTCAATTGTGATCAATCATATGGACTATGCTGCCCTATTAGCATAAATAAATAAACTATCTGTTTGCTGGCAATTTTTAATTTAGTACTCAGTTCGCATTTCCAAGCCAGCCACAGACGTAGTGTTTTTCTCTTCCACCCACCCCACCCTCTTTCACATGGGTAGGTCATGATATTTACCATGGGTGTGCGATTCCTTTTATTTCTAAGTCTTGCAATGTTAAAGCCAGTTGATTGCTTTTTCTTACTTTACCAATGATCAACATAAGTTGATTGCTGTATTAGCTTTATTAAGAACCAACACAGGTTGAGCTATGTTTTCTTTTAAAAAAAATTTCCAATAATCGACACAGGTTGATTGCTGTCTTTTAGCCTTTTATTAATAATCAACACAGGTTGATTAGTGTGTCTCTTTTAAACTCCAAGGGGGACTTTAGTCCATTAGTTTAGTTTGTAGTTTTTGACTCCCATGTGCGAAGCACAAAATGGGAGTCTTTGCAGTTAGTGTGTCTGTATGTGTGTGTGTGTGTGTGTATGTGTGTGTGTGTGTATGTGTGTCCGACTGTTCCACTGCTATCTCAAGAACCATACATCGGTTTTTGATGAAACTTGGTGCATAGATGCTCTGGGCCAATGCGCAGATTTGATTAGGTTTTGGTAAAAATCCATGCTCGTTAATTACCTAATTTGCGTGATAATTAGTTAATTTTTAGCTGTTCTATGACTGTTCCACTGATATCTAAAGAACCACTCATTGGATTTTGATGAAACTTGGTACATAGATGCTCTGAACATATGCGCAGATTTGATTAATTTTTGGTAAAAATCCGTGCATATTAATTACCTAATTTGCATGATAATTAGCTATTTTTTAGTGGTTCCATGACTGTTCCACTGATATCTAAACAACCACTCATTGGATTTTGATGAAACTTGGTACATAGATGCTCTGAACTAATGCTTAGGTTTTGATTAGTTTTTGGTAATAATCCGTGGATACTAATTACCTA